TACCCACACCACACAAAGACAAAACTAAGAAAGAGAACTACAGACCAATATCCCTCATGAACACTGATGCAAAAATACTCAACAAAATAGTAGCAAATCGAATCCAAGAATACATCAGAAAAATCATCCACCATGATCAAATAGGTTTCATCCCAGGGATACAGAAATGGTTCAACATATGAAAATCTATCAATGTAATCCACCATATAAACAAACTGCAAAACAAAAACCCCATGATCATCTCACTAGATGTTGAAAAAGCCTTTGACAAAATCCAACACCCCTTCATGATAAAGGTCCTGGAGAGATCATGGATAGCAGGAACATACCTGAACATAATAAAAACAATGTACAGTAAACCAACAGCCAACAACAAACTAAATGGAGAGAAACTCAACATGATTCCTCTACAATCAGAAACGAGACAAGGTTGTTCACTCTCTCCATATTTCTTTAATATTGTACTTGAAGTTCTAACTAAAGCAATAAGACAACAAAAGAAGATCAAGGGGATACAAATTGGAAAGGAAGAAGTCAGACTTTCACTATTTGCAGATGATATGATAGTTTACATAAGTGACCCGGAAAACTCTACCAGGGAACTCCTATGGCTGATAAACACCGTCAGGAAAGTGGCAGGGTACAAGATTAACTAAAAAAAAATCAGTAGCCCTACCATATACAGACGATAAATGGGCTGAGAAAGAAATCAGAGTAACATCACCCTTTATAATAGCCACAAACAACATAAAATGTCTTGGGGTAATGCTAACCAAACAAGTGAAAGGCCTGTATAGCAAGAACTTTGAGTCTTTAAAGAAAGAAATTAAAGAAGATACCAGAAAATGGAAAGATCTCCCATGCTCTTGGATAGGTAAGATCAACATAGTAAAAATGGCAATCTTGCCAAAAGCAATCTACAGATTCAATGCAATCTCCATCAAAATACCAGCACCCTGAATGTGGGTGTCAGTGAGGAGGCCTCAGCAATCTATGGGGCCTCTGGTAGTGGATCAATATTTATCCCTAGCATACGAATGGACTTTGGGAGTCCATTCCACATAGAGGGATACTCTCTCAGCCTAGACACATGGGGGAAGGCCTAGGACCTGCTCCAAAGGATATGATCAACTTTGAAGATCCCCCATGGAAGGCCTCACCCTCCCTGGGGAGCAGAAAGGTGATGGGATAGGGGAGCTAGTGAGGGGCAGGGGAGGAGGGGACGGAGAGGGAACTGGGATTGACATGGTAAAACAAGCTTGATTCTAATTTAAAGAAAAAAAATAGAGAAAGTAAAAAAAAAAAAAAAAGAATGATTTTGAAATGGCATTAAGGTGACAGAACTGACCCAATTTGATGACAGAACAACAAACAAGAAGGTGAGAAAGATGGAGGGATGAGAATGACCCTGAGCACCCTCCCTTAGCTACAGGACACAATGGGGCATCGATTAGGACAAATGTGTGGAAGAAAAAAGAAAATGGAGATGTTGGAAGACTTACACTTTATACTGTGATGACAGTGTAGTATTAGCATGAAGACAGACATGCAAGTCAATGAAGCAGACTATAGCATCCAGCAATGAATGAACCCTTGCACACCCGTCAGATGTTTTTGAAGGAAGCACTTACAACAGTTGGTTTGGTCAAATCAATGCAATCTAGAATCACCTAGAAAGAGCCTCAGTGAGGGACCACCTGGATCAGGCTGGTCTGTAGGTGCGTCTGTATGCAGGGATGGGTGATTGTTTTGATCATTTTAATCAATGGGGAAGACCCAGCCTACCATGGGTGGCACCATTCCCTATATTTGGGTCCTGAACAAAATATGCTGAGTAATACGCATACATGCACACGCACACACACTCTATTTCTGCTCTTGACTGTGACTAGCTACTTCAGGTTCCTGCCTTGACTTTCCTGAAATGATGTGCTGAAATTGTGAGCTGAATAAACTTCTTCTCCCTCGAAGTTGCTGTTTTTTGGGTTCTTTTATCACCAAAGCAACTGGGCCAGAAATTAGAACAAATACTTAGAATTCAAATAGTGTTCACATATAAAGGACAAGAAAACAAAACAAAAAAACCCCAGAACTAGGCTAGACTTTTACCTAATGCCAAATGTAAAAATTAACTCAAAATGGATCAAATGCCAAAAACTTAAGACTTAAACCTACAAAATTCCTAGAAGCCAACACAAATGACAAGTTTCATGTCAATGGCTTCTTGTGACTCCAACAACACAGGCAACAAGAGAAAAACAAACAAATTGGACTTCAACAAAATTTAAAATGTTTGTGCCTCAAAGAACACTTATTAGCAATAAAAAACATAGAATAGATGAAAATATTTCCAATTTCATCTCATAAGAGGTTAATATCGGCAGAGGCAGGCAGATCTCTATGAGTTCAAGGCCTGCCCGGTCTATAAAGTAAGTTGCAGGACAGCCAGGACTGTTACACAGAGAAACCCTGTCTCAAAACAAAACAAAAAACAAAAAACACCGGGCATTGGTGGTGCATGCCTTTAATCCCAGCACTAGGAAGGCAGAGGCAGGTGGATCTCTGTGTTCGAGGCCAGCCTGGTCTACAGAGCGAGTCCCAAAACAGAAACCCTGTCTTAAAAAAAACAAGAGAAAGAGAGAGAGAGATTGAGAGAGAGAGAGAGAGATTAATATCTAAATTATGAGAGAACTCTGAAACAAACAAAAAAAAGGTGCCTCACATCCATCAGGGTACCTGTTACATTAATTTTTGAGGTAATAGCTTCCCAATTCTTAATCACTATATTATCATCACAAAATAGTCCTGGCCTCTCTGCTACTCATATCTTAAAAAGTAAGCCTTGGTTTGCTGTCAGCATGCCAGTGGTGCATTCATGGGACTTCCGTCCTCGGCAGAGTTTAATGGATGCCTGTTGTAAATAGGAAGAACCTTACAACTGAGATGGCTACATACTTCTTCAAATGTATCAGTCAAGATATGTTTTGTTAGTCTTTACATAATTTCCTCGTTTCCAACCCACATGATTTACACCATGTGTAGCATTCTCCTGGCCTGTCCAGCTCGTTACATTTGTTAATTATTGAAAGAAACACAGCTGGTGGGGATAAGCCTTGCCGAAGAGTAGGGTGGGGAGGATGCGGCTACTTTTGTGTCTGCTGCTCTCTCCTGCTTCCCTGGAGAATGAGGGAAGGCAGCATCCTGGGAGGGCATAAAGGAAGCAGCAGAACTAAATATCCCTTTCCTACTGCGACTTCAGTGGTCCTGTTGGATTCTGGCACTCATGAAGCCCGAGACACACTGTCCTGGGGCAGATGCAGTAAGACTCCAGAAGTGTGGGCTGTCATCTTTGCAGGTTCCTCCTGCCCACCCTTTAGAAACCAAACGCTCATGAGCGAAGAGTCATAAGTGCTGGTTATTCCATGGGGCATCTACTGCAGATACGAGGCGGGGAGGGCCATATTCAAACAACTTAAATACCACGTGAACGAGAAACTATAGAGGCCACATCATCATCATCTTAAAAACTATACCTTATTCCATTCACTTGTGATCCGTAACAGAATGCAGTAATCATGTCCCGGTTTCAAAGGAGCGTTGTAATATCCCCCATAGTACAGTCTGTCCCCGATAGGCATCTCCAACGTGTCACCTGGAACATCACTGTCCAGTATCTCTGCAGCCACGTATCCGTCAGTCAGGGAGGTGTTGCCAAAAAATGAAGCCATGCCTTCGGAACCACAAGAAAATGTGCTTTCCAAGGACAGGGGAAGGACCAACACCTGATACGAACTAGGAGAGGGGGGAAAAAAGGCAGAGAAACCGTCAGGGGCTTCGTTAAGACGGGACATTTTTATTCGTCATCAGGTCCTTAGGCAGATGTGCATTTTATAAAGGTACTCTACACTGCTGTTTGGGGGACAGTGTGCTTGGGCTTGCCGAACTCATCCTATGCAATAAGCACTTATGAGACACAAGAGTGGACAAGAAAAACAGCGGGCTCACACGGGATTTGGCGTCTGGCAGTTCCAACAGTCACGGGCCTCCAAATTTACCTACAGCCAGATGAGAAGATAAGTCCCAGCTTCCCCCACTGGGCATCACCGCCTTGTGTCCCTCATATGGCAGTGCTTCAGGCGGGCGAGTAAAGCAGAGGGAAGGGTTTAGGAGTCATGTGAGGGCCACGCACCTACGACTGTGAATGTGCTAAGTCTGGGAAATGGCTCCAGACAGTCATGTGGGGACTTAAAAACAGAACTCATATGATTTACATTCCCTGCAGTTCAGAGGCTCGCACCAAAGTTCACACCAAGCCAACGAGCGGCCGGGAGTGAAAAGTCACCATGAGTTAATCTAGGCTGACAGGATCCTGGTGTAGGAAAAAAAAACCCAAAAAACAAAAAACATATGGATGTGGTGAAAATGTCCCCCTAAATGAGGGCGCAGAAACACACTAACAATCAGGTGTCCTTTTGTGGTGTACTTTAGTAATACTTTATCCGCCAGAGCGAAAGACCAGCCAGTGGGGAGAAGAATGAGACGCACAGATGGAATCATGCCTCCCTTTCCATTCCTACTGGCTCTGCCTTTATTTCCCACCCCTGGTATCATAAATGTATGAACACCTCTCTCTACCGAACTTGACGATGGGGGTTTGCAGGACTACCTCATGCATCTGCGGGTCCTTTCACATTTCTTTAGCTACAATCAGCTCCCCGTAATTGCTGGTTGAGTTGAATTTTTCAATAAAGGAAAAAAAATGCCTGGATAAGCATCAGATGTGATTAGGGTGGTTTCCAAAACTCATTAGGCCACATAATTCTATTTCAACGCCGATTTTGAGCTTCCTGCCCCACATTCCTAATGCCCCATTTCCTGCTCCCGAAAAGAACATGAGTCACCAGGTCCAGGAGGGGGAGACTTCCCCCCAGTCGCTGTTGCTTTTGGAAAGTCTTCAGCCACCTGCTATGTACCCAGTCATGTTAGGTGTCACCAGGATCCCGGTTTCCACAGAGTCTGGCTCACATTCAGAAAAGAACTCCGAGCAAAGGAAATTAAGTATAACCTGCAGGGTAACACAGAGTTACCAGCAGCAACAATAAACATTGACTGAGTTTCCATGGCCCATGGGGAACTCTTGTGACAGCTCTTCTGGGGACTTTAAGGTATGGCGGCCACCGGTAAGAAGCCCCACTCTGCGGAAACTCATACTCTCAATCTGTCTCAATCTGCCAGGTAAGTGATCGTGGTGAAGTTCAAGGTTCCCCTGCACCCAGTTGATTCTGTACATTGCCCGTGACAGGGCAGGAAGCCGCCTCCTATGTATGTAGCCAGGTAATTATAGAAATAAATTCCCAGGTCCCATCCCAAACCTACTGGATCAAAGTCTCCGGGACAAGGGTTGGGAATGTTTGCTGATGCTGAAGTATGCCAGCTGATTCCTGTTAGCTAGTAAAGATAAGAGACATTAGCCTCCAGGGAGCCCAGGAACAGGTCTGACCGTCAGCTTAACTCTGCATGTTCCATGCCAGGGTTCACACAAAAGACTCAGAGCAGACTCTGGCCTGGAAAAGCTGCTACCTGCCGCTCTAGCCAGGCAGCCAGGCTGGGGAAATGGCATGCCCACCTTCTGGGTAAATCGCCCTGGTGGCACGTAAAAAGCAGTTGCAGTGGTTTGGAACCTGACCACCTGACCGGTTTGCAAGGACTTCTCTCCACCGCTCTCCCTGGATGACTCACGGGTCTCTGCTTCCTGTTTTGAAAGCACTGGCTGATATACTGCCAGGAGGATAGGCTGTCGTTTGGCTTTTCTTTTTGCCTTACACAATTATTTGGCTTAAGTATCACATCTGCCTGGCAAATTGACTTCTGTTCCCCTTGCAGCAACAGAATTGCGATACTTTCCAGTAACTTACGAGGAATCAAGAAACAGAGCTGTTTGGGTAATGTCTGTCCCTGAAAAGACTTGAACTTAACACAGTCTGAAAGCAGGGCAGCCCTAACTCCAGACTTGCCTTTCCATACTTTTAGAATATCTCATCCTTATTTTTACCTTGATGGCACCGAAAGGGTCACTACACTGGAAGGTCAAGAATGATGAAAAAAAAAAAAAAAGGCCCTGTGGGTCAGGCCATGCACACCACAGCTCCTTGGCCTGGTACTGTTGCTATCATCTGCAGGCCAATCTTAATCTTCCTCTCTGAAAAGGTGGGTAATTCAACTTCCCGGATCCTTCTATGACCTTCGTAAACAAAATGCTAAACTGAGCAAGCCAGCCGTGATCCTCCAACAGAGGTAAATTAATTCCATCCTCATGCCATCTGGAATACCAGCAGGTCCCTAACTACACAGTGTCTTGCCTGCAACTCAATATGTGAACGGAGCAAAAGACTTCTCCAAATGACCTTTGCAGAAACCCCTGCACATACCCCACGGTCAGAAAAGAGGACATCCTGTCTCTGGGAAACGAAGCAATCCTTGTGTCCATCCCCCGCCTCTTCCTTCGTTAAAGTGAGAAGGGAATGCAAGGGCCACTGCCCTATGCTGTCAACTGAGACCTGTGACCACACAGGGACACTTAATTTCTTGTGGCTATGCTGCCCCCAAATGCTTGCCCTCCGGTCCCTCATAAGTCTCATCATGGATTCAGAAGGATGCTATCTGGATGAAAATTCCAGCATGCTCAAGGAAACAAAGCGAGAGGCCCTGTTGTAGCTGCCCAAGCCCAGTCGTCCACAGAGGAGTATTCTCACATAGTGGGACCACTGGGCACTTGCGGAGAGGAGACAGGTACTCACCAGATAGGTCCATTTATCTCCTTGGCTTTCCTCAGCCTGAAGAGTGGCAGAGGTCCTCCTCTCACAGTGAAAAACTCTACTTCTGGACGTGGGGGCTCTGAAAACATTAAAAAGGAGAGAAGGCGGGGAGGGGGACAGGAGGTCAGATCAAGTGAAAACACACACACACACACACACACACACACACACTCAAAGAATGTGGTCCTCTAGGATGCCACAAAAGTTTTTAACCCAGAAAGTGAAATATCCATACACATACACACACACACAAAAGACAACTATTATATGAGTCTACTTTCGTGAAACATCTAGATCTGTCAATTCATAGAGCAAGGGACCAAGAATGGAGGGCGGTGACAAGGGGCTGAACTCACTGCCAACGCTCAGAGGTTTTGTGTGGAGTGATAAAAAGTTTGGAAAAGGCAGTGGCAGTGCCACGCGGCACATACCCTAAAGCCAACAAAGCATATGTTTGAAATAGCCAACGGTGTTACATTTCACATGTAACATAATACAACAGTGTTACATTTCACATGTAACATAATACAACAGTGTTACATTTCACATGTAACATAATACAACAGTGTTACATTTCACATGTAACATAATACATGTAAAAACAAGTGACTAGCACGCTCCAATATCCACAGGAGATGGGTCCTGGGGTTTTGATGTTTGCCGGACAAATTCTTATTTGGTAGGTGCTTGTGGTTCAGAGATGGCTTAAAGCATCTCCCGAAACTCCAGACATTGGAAGCTTTGTTCCCAGAGCGATAGTGTAAGAGGCGGTGAATCTTTCAGATGCAGAGCTGGCCGTCCCTGAGGGTGATGCTCCTGGGAGTGACTACTGGTGCTGGTTCCCAAGAAAGCACGTTGTCATGAAAGGAAACAAGACAGGACCCACCCTAAATGTGCTTACTGCTAAGGCAGGTGGACACTTCCCGACATTATCCATTGTGAAGCCATCTACCCCAGGTGGAACCCTCACCCGGGGCCAAACCCATGGAGCATGCCCACCTTGAACTTTTAGCATCCTAAAAGGTGAGATAAAGAAACCCGTTCCTTTTTTTCAGCTTTGTACATTTTGCGATAGCAATAAAAAAGAGGACTAAACGTGGTACAAAAGACCAGCATGTCAGGTTTCTATATCCTTTATAATCATGGTGTTTGGTGTGTCACCCCCTCCCCGCTTCCCAGCCCCCTGACAATCAGATCCCCTGGAGGTTTTTCACTGACTGAGGAAAAACACACTGACTGGCTGACCCCGGTGTTCTGCCACATCACTGTAGCTACACCTAAATGTCGGGGCACCAGCTGATAGTTTGCCCGAGGGCAACATAAGAGCAAATTGGGCATTGGTATCGCATACTAGATGTGTCCTGTCTATGATCCACTTTAATGGAGCTCCCCAGCAAAGCTAGGGAGGGAGACACCATCATTCTCTCTCTCTCTCTCTCTCTCTCTCTCTCTCTCTCTCTCTGTCTCTCTCTTCTCTGTCTCTCTCTGTGTCTCTCTGTCTCTCTCTCTGCTCCTACTTTGATCTCTGCAATGGGAACTTCTATCCTCTCCAAAGGATTGTGAGAAGAGCAGGCACCTGCCTTTCTATCCACGTGATTCATGAGACGAACTATGTCTGGCTATTAACCCACTCTGTTCCCACCTTTTTTCTTTTTCCTTTTGGGGTGTCATCTGGACACAGGACAAGTGTTTTCACTCCACTTCCACCCTCCACACACTTGACAAACGGAGTCAGGACAGGTAAGAAGCAAGTGCAGGTACCTATGCTCACCTTCTCCATGAGAGAGTGGAGTTCCAAGTTTAAGGTGGCAGAGTTCCAGGACTCTTTCTTTGGTCTCACCAGCAACAAAACCGATAACCAGATACTATCTTACTTTTTGTTTTATTTTGTTTTGTTTTTTCTGAGACAGGGTTTCTCTGTGTGGCTCTGTTTGTCCTAGAATTCACTCTGTAAACCAAGCTGGCCTAGAACTTGGAGATCTACTGCCCCTGCCTCCTGAGTGCTGGGATTAAAGTGCCCGGCCACTGTCTCACTCTTATGTATATTTTTTAAGTTTTCCTAAACTCGGAGGTGATACAAGTGTGATTAATACTCCTGCCATCTATACTTTTGACAATTTACATAGGAGGAAGCTGAAAATGTAAGCTCCTTGCCCAATAATACACACTCTACAGCAGAGGCAGGGTGGGAGTGGATTCCCTGTTAGTCTTCTTTCTCATTTACCCCTCCTGCAGGTCTCTTAAATGCCTGGCTCCACCAAATCTTCCACTCAGTTAATTGACAACATTCCATTTTTAATACACTGAATGAAGAAAGGCCAAGCCAGGGAAAGAATCTGTTTTCAAAATCACACTGTAGTATACCAGAGATCTCTCCAGTGTGGCTCACATCGGGGACCAGACGAAGTGAACGTGTAGAAACAGTCATCTACGCCAGTGGGTGAGATCGAAGGCTCGTGCCTCTGCGACTTTTATCTCTAGCTGCCCGTCTATAAAGTGGGAATAAGAACAACACCCACTTTGATTCCTAATCGGCACACTGAAGAATGCAGTGCCTGTAATGTTGGGTGCGCCTTCAAGGGGCCGTGGCTGCTCAACCAAGAATGTCACCCTGGATGATGCCAGAGCTTCTCATTTAAAGGTGATTGTCAGCCAATCGATGGGATTTGGTACAGAAAGGAAGATCTGTGTCACTGATGCCATTAACCAATGACATCCACAAGAGCCTTCATTAACCAGCTGTGGTCAAGTTAGGGGTGTTCGGATGAAAGGTGCTAAGCGCTTCCCTCTCATCCCTCCCAAAATCTGAAATATAAACTCTACTGAGCTATTACACCAGCTTAAATGTGCTATAAACACCTTCCTTGTGTTACATTTAAAACCCATTTTCTTAGAAGCAGCCCCTCCCCCTCTTACACAGTTCCTGTGGGGCTGTCAACCGTGGTTCTCCAAACCCTGTGTGGCCTAGGCCCTGGAGACCCGTGGATCAACTCACTGAGGACTATCAAGAAGATTGGTCCTTTCAACTCTGAGAGAAGACAGCATCTTGTTCTTACTCTTGGATCACAGCTTAAGTACCACATAAGGCAGGAATGCCCATATTTCCAGGTCTGTGTTAAAAGACCTCAGGCAAAAGGAAGGCAGAACAGCTGAGCGACAGCAATGGGGGTGGGAGGGGTAGGGGGTAGGGTGAGAGGGGAATGGAGGGGGTGGGTGGCGGGGCACTGATGGCCCATTTGTGCTTCAAGTGAGATCTCTTCCTGGACTTCCATCTGCAACCCAACACATTCCCCAGGCTTAAGCTGTTTTGAGTTAGTTCCTGTCATTTGCAACCCAAAGAGCCTTGACTAATTTTAGAACGCTTCCAGCTACCCTCATATTCTGCTGAAGGGCGGAGCACACAGCTGCATGTGCATTTGAGGGAACTCTGGCACCAGTTATCTGTTTGGCTAGAGAGATGCTCAGTGGGTATAACGCCTTCCCCGTTGCTTGAGGGTCTGAATTTGGATCCCTGATGCCCATGTGAAAACCAGGTGTGGTAGTGTATTTACAACCTCAGTGCTGGGGCTGGGGAAGGTGGATGAGGCAGGAGAATCCCTGGAACTCACTGGCTAGCCAGCCTAGTCAAAATGCTGAGCTCAAGGTTCTGCCTATAAATAAATAAATAAATAAATAAATAAATAAATAAATAAGGTGGAGTGCACTAGAGAAAGATACACATCAACCTCTTGCCTCCACACTCACAGACATGTACACACACTCACATTCACAAACACATGTATGCACACAGACATGTACACACGCTCACACTCACAAACACATGTATGCACACAGACATGTACACACACTCATGCACATGTATGCACACAGACATGTACTCACACTCACAAACACATGTATGCACATTTGCCCATACATATACCATACACATGTTAAAATGTCTAAATGTCAAAAATAATGAAAAGAAAAAGAATAAGTTATCTTGGTGTGGGAAATGCATAGTACATATCTGAAGATTAATACTGCTAAATTAAGCAAATTGCCAAATCAATACAAGGAGATGCTATAAATGCAAATGTATTAAAACTTTTTTTCAGCTAAAACCCATGACAATGAACTTTTTTAAAAATGAAATTTCACCTGTACCAAAAGTAAGCAAAGGCCCAAATTTTACGGTATGAGCACAAAGGATTAAATCAAAACACAATTCTACTGCCTGAAAACTCAGTATATCACTGCCTTCCCAGATATTTCTACAATAAAAGAGCAGGAAGAAAAAGGAAAACATCTCTTTGCTAAACTTCAGGCACGGCTCTGTACAACCAAGATGTGCCCAACAGAAGCTGGTGGAACCAAAGAAGTGGGAAATGTCCACCATAAGCCACCAACCACAAGGTCAGACAAGCCTTCCCCACCCATACAGCTGTGAGGTTCCACTCCACTATAACCCCCTCAGAATTTTTCATAGGTATGTGTACATAACCAATCAACAAGTATTGCCTGCGTTCAAGTGTTGGGTCTCAACATAATCCTTCTACCACATCCATCACACCCACAGCAATTCTGGTTTTGGGGTTTCTGATATAAGGAAATCTTCCAGTGCACTTTTTGTTTTGTTTTGTTTGTTTTATTTTTCTGAGACAGGGTTTCTCCCTGTGTCCCTAGCTGTCCAGGAACTCGATTTGTAGACTAGGCTGGCTGGCTTTGAACTCAGAGATCCTCCTGTCTCTGCCTCCCAAGTTCTGGGACTATACGTGTGTGTCACAACACTCAGCCTCATACACATTTTGTAAAGTTAAAGTGTATAAAGAAAGTGACCCGAGTAGCCCATTTCCTTCCGTGATAGGTCATCTGGCCTCAATGGAAACTAATGGGGATTGGATGGTTTCAGTGAGTGGCGTAGAGAGATGCCCGTGTCTACTGAGCTGTTTACTTTGGAGATCTGGGGAGAGAAAGTAGCTGGGATATTTCAGGGCATGGGAGAAGTACGTGGGCTGCAGAAGCAAGGAGCTTCTGGCCTGACCCAAGATTGTGTCTCCAGGAAACAAAGAGTTTATATTTACCAAAGACTTTGAAAAGAAAACAGACTAGTGGAAGCCGATCCTTATCCAGACCACCGATGCAACGTTAGCACCAATGGCACCAGAGGGAGTGGGGGGGGGGGATTTCCAGGATCACTGAGGCACCCTAGAGTCAGCTAGGAAGAATGACTTTTCACTGAGGACACAGGGTGCAGAACCATTAAATAGTTGGTGGTCACCCAAATGGAACAGAAGTCTGCAGGAGGGCTGGTCCTGCGTGATGCTCCCCAGTCCTCAGCAATAAGAAAAGGGGTCCAGAGGCAGGAGCGGAGAGACCCCGCAGTCCTGGCTGTCCTACCCACCTGCAAAAGCACCTTTTCTCTTTCTAATTAGGAAGGCAAGCAGAGACGGGAGATTTCCCATGCAGGATGCCTGCATTGGCCCTGAAGTCAAACAGAAAGTATTTCCATTCTTCCATCCTTCTTCCCTTTCCTCCTCCAGCTTTCCTGGTTCCACGAGAAAGAACTGACTTCCAACAACAGCCGTGTCACGTGTAACAACTGGTGGACCCTATCATCACAGCCACAAGTACTCTTACTTTTGTTCTCTTCTCTTCCCCCCCCCACCACCACTTTAGCCTTCTCCGGTTTCCGGTCTTGTCTCTATGAAAAGAAAACGTTGCCTATGAGCTTTTAGGCTCAACAAGAAAACAGTACAAGCGAATTGTGAGAGCTCTTCCTTCTGCCTCTTTGGGGTCGGCATCAAAGATGAAAGCCTGTTTGTTCTCCTCCCTGCCCTAAAGAGGAGCATGAAGGGGCCTGTTGTGAAGAATCCTCCGGTCCAAAGCCTCCTTGGTAGCAGCAACTTCTGCTACCTCCACCCCCATCCCCCCACCTCATTCCCCCCTCCAGTAAGCACCGGCTCCGAGCTTTCTCCTGCCTCTGTCCCTCCACACTCCTCTTCATCTCCTCTGAGGTCAGCAACATATTTAAAGCTCATCCCGTTCCCATCAGTAAGATTTAGTTTAATGGGAGGCTCACCGAAGGGAAATTCCAGACGCTTTTCTTCTGGGAAAGCATTCGCTGTTTTCCAGATCCAAATCCTTTAACCTAACATTTCTGGTAACATTTGAAAGTTCCTGGCTTTGCTGAAACAAAGCCACACACATCTGGAGTATCCTTATACATCAACATATCGGGTTCTCTTTTTCTCTCCCTTTTATGGGATGAAGGTTTGTTTTGTTTTGTTTTGTTTTTCTCCCTCAACTCTTTAATAAAGTCTTACCAATTTGAATTCTCATGCAAAACAAACAAAAACAAAAGCAAAAAAAAAAAAAAAAACCCTACCAAGTCTAAAGCAAGTTCATCTACCAACCATGATCTCAATGCACTTCCACTGGCTGCCTGTCCCAGTGAACTTGAACGGCTCGACAGTGTCCCCTGGTGGCTGTGAGCACAGACACAGGACACTTGAGTGACAACCTCAAAATGAGACAAATGAAGTTAAAATACCTATCAAAGGCTGTCCTTTGACTTACACATGTATCCCAAGGTCAGCCCCCTCCTGCTCCACACACAGAAAATAGAAGTAATAAAGTGTAACCGAAATATTTTTAAAGTGGTAAAATCCACCCAAGTATGATAGGGACCAGAAAATAGGAGACGGAACAGCTACTCTGCTGTATAAACTTTCCATTGAACATCACTCGTCTCCTGCACAAAATACTCAGAATTTCTCTTGATACAAAAATCTAACTCCTCAGCGTCAATTACCCCCTGGCTATTATTCAACAAATATGGATTTATTGTGTAAAGTGTCATTGGCATTTGCTGAGGAATTCAATATAGAAATAAAGGAAAAAAGAAACTTTGCTTTCAAAAAACTGCCTTTTTAGAGGACGAGGAAGATTTTTAAAAAACAATTTTTAAGATACAAAAACAAGAAGAAATTCAAGGAGGGTGAGTGATAGAAAGTAATAGGGTGGGGATAGAGAGATGACTCAGGGGTTAGGAGCACTGACTGCTCTTTCTAGAGGTCCTGAGTTCAATTCCCAGCACCTACATGGCAGTTAACAATTATCTGTAACTGTAGTCCCATGGAATCCAATGGCCTCTTCTGGGGTACAGCTGTACATGCAAACAAAACACCCGTATACATAAGTAGAGAAATCTTTAAAAGAAAGCTACAGGTAGAGAGTAAGGAGGGCATTTTTTTGGAAGGATGGTCAGATTCAGTTAGCTTCCTGCCCCATCTCTGACTCCAGCGCTGAGTTACATGCCTGGCTTTCTTACATAAGTGTCAGGTTCCCCCAAGTGTTTATGCAGTGAGCAATTTGACCACTGAGCCATTTCACTACAGCTAGAACACTAGTTTAATGTGTTACTAGAAAACGGTAACAAGGAATCTTTTCAGCTATGAAATGTTTTAGACTCCTTGGTTGTTGTCGTCATAGTCGTTGCTGCTGCTGTTTGATTTATCTGGGGGTTTAAAGGCCTAGGCTGACCTCAGACTTGGTATGAACTACTAACCCTCTTGTCTCCACCTCCCGAATGCTATGACCATGCCCGGCTAGAATGTTTTCAATGTTTCAAACACCCAGAAGGGACTTAACTCCTAGGTTTATGCTATTTAAGTTTAATTGACATTTTGTTTCACATCATGAAACAGAGCGGGCACAGCTGTCAGCCTCTTTGTAACCTTCTCCAATCCCACATCCTTCCTCCCTTCTCTTTCAAGCACCATGTATCATGACAGAAAGCAACAGTATTCCTTATCTGGGCTACCGAAATCCAGCTTTGTGGGTAACTTCATTAATACAAATGCTGTCGTTCAAGATTTACCTGTTATCTGGGTTGTCAGGTAAATGACCACAGGAAGTGCTGAAGACAAAGCCTGAAGGCTGACAGTGTAGTTGGTACCTGGATGCAGGTCCAGGCACATCTCGGGGGCCTGACTGCGGCTGGTGGTATTGAAGACTATTTCCAGAACAAACGTCTCCTGATACCATCTCTGGCCCCAGATGTGGAACTGAAATATAAAAGGGCTCACAGGGTGAATCACTGGCTTGAAGGTTCTAAATGCCTTAAGTCCTATGCTTTTCCAGGAGATTTCTCCCCACTCCCCCTCCTATAGAGTTTTTTTCCAAGAAGCAAATGCAACAATAAGCTAATAGTAACTTTTCAACACTATACATATTTTATACATATGAGATGACAATACCATGAGAATAATATATATATTTTATAGTAAAAGTACACCAATTGATCATTATGATTGACAGCTGTAATTGTAGCCCTCAGGAGGTGTGACTTATTTATATTTTTATATTTTATTTATGTGTGTGTGGAGTGGGTATGTGTGCCTCTGTGCAGGTGTTCACAGAGGCCAGAAGTAGGCATTGGATCTCCTGGCCTGGAAATCACAGGCAGATGTGAGCTGCTGGGTGTGGGTCCTGGGAATCCAACGATAGTCTTTTACAAGAGCAGCAAACACTGAGTATTTTATGCCATGCTGGTCCACAAAGGCCAGACTAGGATACAAGGTAAAGCGTCTCAAAAATAAGATAAAATGAAAGAGAAGACTCAGAGGCCCCTGCACAGGCAGCTTTCTCTTTTTATCCTCGCACACACAGTGTGGAAGCCTGCTGTCAAAACCACAGAAGCATGGCCAAAGAACCTTTTCCTAGAGAGAAAGTTAGGAATCCAACCAGGCACAACCTCATTAGGGAGCTCCTTTTTGTGACCTCCTTGTAGCTGAAGCTGGAGACCTTTTTCTTTCCATGATTCTTTCAGCAATCACTTAACTTCACAGACTCCCTTTGACTGTCCAGACAACAAACCCAGACCCTGGGCTCTGTGGAGACACCAGTGTGACCACAGATAACCGGACTCCTACCACAGACTCTCTGCACCAGGACACCCACGCAACTCAAGGAACTTCTGTACTGTCTCACCACTCCCAAGGAGTCTGTCTGCAGACAAGCCTCAGAAGTGGTCCTTTAGTACTTCTTATTCAGTCACCATGACATATGTTCTGCCAACGGCAGCTACAAATGTATTTTTTAGTCTTGTAGATTTTCTTTTAAAAAATTAAGATTTATTTAGGCATGAGCTTTTTTTTTTAACCTGTATAGTGTGTGTGTGTGTGTGTGTGTGTGTGTGTGTGTGTGTGTGTGTGTGTGTAGGCATACCTGGGGCCCACAGAGGTCAGAAAAGGTAGTGAATTTTCTGGAAACGGAGTTACAGTTGATTGGGGCTGTCATGAGGGTGCCGGGAATTGAACTTGGATTCTCTGAAAGAGCAGCTGAGCTGTCTTTCAACGGCTGAGCCATCTCTCCGGCCCCTAGACAGGTTTTAAACTTGCCACATAACACACGCATCCGCAGGTAAGGTAAATTAGAAACTCACTAAGTACATCTCTTCTACGTTGGCCGCCTTCAGGCTTCTCCATCTGAGGCAGGATTCATTGTATATTGAAATATTTGTGATGGTCTGTTTTGCTGCAGAGGGGAAAGAAAGAACTGAATTTACACTGTAGGAAAGAAAAAAAAACCCACAAAACAACTAACTTTTCATCGAAATATTTTCCTAGGAAAAGCATTTAGATAGGATGAAGTCAGCAGTGTTTTCATTCAGAAGTCAGTGATGGCAGTTTTCAAGAAACATCATGTCCACGTTTAAGCAAATGAGACCTGGTGGGGGGTTTTAAGAACCAAAGACACCCAGTCAGAGGGTCCCTCTTAAAATATTTAGGCCAGCCACTGCCAACCCCCTCGGCTTTCTAGGTTTCAGCTAGAACTCATTACCATGGGCTTTGGAAATCATTTGGACATAGTAGGCACCAGTCTGAAACTCTGAACTAAAGGGGACATCTCAGTAGAATCACTCTGAGGAACTGGAAACTGCCAACTCAAGCAGTCCGGCCTTTTGTGATAAAGTGGGATTCCCCTGCCTTGGATTTCCACATCATGTTCTTGAAATCTGCTCATTTCCATGCTCGTGGATCTAAACGCTAATGCACAACCTCATACAATTTGTTCCAGACGCACAGCTACCAGACCCGGCTTACTTACTGCAAACCCTGATATCAGGAGGTGACTACAACGCCTGTCCCTAGACTGGAAATAAATAGCCGAAGTGCTAGGCAGTTTCATAGGAACACTGCGGTGACTAAGATTAAAAGACAATCCCCAAGGCACCTGAAAGGAAAGTCCCCTGGGAAGCAGGGCTGCACTGAGCAAACCTCCGACCTGACAGGGTTCAGTGAATGAAGCTGAGTTGGTAGATGTGACCCTCCTGTGTGAGTTGAGAGTGTTTACAATGAGAAATCTTGCTCTACAAGTCACAGCCTCACTTCAGATGCTGCAAGACAGCAGGGAAGGAAGAGCCTTGGGTCTGGGGAGACACATTCCCACTGCTGGGTAGCTGGTGGTGGTGGAGAGTAGGAGCAGTGTGACCCAAGAGACCTAAGTCTGAACACTTAAAACCACAAATAATATGTAATGCTATTACTAATGTTATTGCTTGTTTTATTTTGTTTTTGCGGTGCTAGAACCTCATATACGCTAGCAAGCATCCCACTACTGAGCTACATGCCTAGTCAGAATGCCTGCATGAACAATACTATCCCACCAGTTCTTTTTTTTTAAAAATGTGTTTATTATGTATATAGTGTTATACCTGCATGTCTGCCTGCAGGCCAGAAGCGGGTACCAGATATTTTTATAGATGGTTGTGAGCCACCATGTGGTTGCTGGGACTTGAACTCAGGACCTCTGGAAGAACAGCCAATGCTCTTAACCTCTGAGCCATCTCTCCAGCAACCCCCCCACCAGTTCTTGATCATACAAAAAGTAGAATATTTTCCAGTTCACTCGGTGTAACTAGATGACTCACAAAGCCTGAGCTGTACAGGGGATAGCAAACCAAACATAAAACAACAGTCTATGCCAAACTCATACAGAGGTACAGAACAGTAAGCAAGGGCTGGAGAAATGGCTCAGCAGTTAAGAGCGCTTCCTGCTCCTTCAAAGGACCTGGGTTCAGTTCCCAGCATCCACAGGGTGGTTTGCAGCCACCCGTAACTCCTGCCCCAGCAATGCAACACCCTCTTCTGACCTTCATGCACACCAGGCACACACATGGTACACATGCATGCAGATGCAAAACACTCATGCGTGTAAAATCTTAATTTAACTTTTTTGAGGTAGGGTCTCACTATGTAGACCAGGCTAGGCTAGAGCTCATAGAGGTCTACCTACCTCTGCCTTTTAAGTGCCGGGATTGAAGGTGCAAACCACCACACCCAGTTTTTTTTCCACTTTTGAGTAAAATTGTTTGTACATATCAGCACACAAATCGTCATGACCAAGAAAAATTAATCCCCGAATCCACACTCATTACTGGAAAAGTTATCAGTGAAATAAAAGAGATTACATGGTTACTTTTATATTCATAATGGCTACTACATTTAAATATATCCCTTAAAATCCTAGTTTACAAGGACTGGACTTCTCAGAAAACCTTAAGCTTAATCATGTTTATTGGACTTTACCATGCTCAGTGGTTAAAATAATTGAAGCAGCTTCTTGTAAAATTACCAACAATACAAGGATGTGTGGTCTCAAGGCTACTATTTGGTATTAGGACATCCTAGACAAGAAACAAGAAAACAATGAGGTTACAAATGCCAAAACGAAAGTGGGAAAGGGAGCGCAACTGCCAGTAAGTCTCGGAGAATGAAGGACATACCCCAAACTGCCCGAAGACAACAGAAAAACAAGACAAAAAAAATCACCGGATCTTGGCAAAGGTGCATTCAGACGGATGGAACACAAGAGCAAGCCATTTTTCTTTCTGTGTACAAGGAAAAGGCATGATTGCC